GCGATGTGGGAGAGCAGCAGCTTTCACAGGGATAACACAGGGAATTTCTGTGGAATTTCTGTGGGATTCACAGGGAATACCCCCGGAGTGATGAGTCCTGGCCCCCGGGCCAGCTCCAGCGCGATCCACAGCGAGGTGCCCGGGGGGACGGGCGGGGAGCGGGCAGGGCTCGGCAGGGTCTGCCCGGTGTGCAGCGCCCGGGAGCCGCTCCACGGTGTTCCCAGGCGGGTGTTTTGGGAAGCGGTGGCTGCAGCGCGAATCAGTGACCCCGCCAGGCCCGGGGCAGCGCTCAGTCACTGGCAGAAGCGGGTTTTCCACGGAGGAGGACGCAGGCCGTGGTGCTGAGCCCCAGCTGCTGCCCGCGCTCGCCCGGGTGATGCTCCCGATGATGCTCCCGCTGATGCTCCCGATGATGCTCCCGATGATGCTCCCGATGATGCTCCCGCGCGTGGGCGCCCGGAGCAGCCGCAGCCCGGGAGGTGCCGTCTGGCTGCCTCGGCTCTGATTCACTTCTCCGACCCCCTGCTGGGAGCCACGGACCAGAAAAATGTCGCTGCTTCCCACGGCGGAGCAGCTCACGCCACGCCACGGGCACCAATTCGGGGCACGGCCCGCCGGGAATAGGGGCTTTTCCCAGGGCTGTGTATTAAGATTCTGGTCACAGCCCAGCTTTTGGTTTTTAGCAAAGATGAATGGCAATTGTGCCATCTCTTGTTGCTTGCAGTATTTTGGAGGCCTTTCTTCTCATAAACAGCCTTGTCTATCACTTCAAAGTGACACTGGAGCATCATTTTGCTGCATGTGAGGCATTTGTGCTTTGAAAGCCCAGACCAGCTCTTCTCTGTGAAGACTGCACTAAATCAGCCACAAATCTCATGCTTCGCAGTTCCTCACTCACATTTAACCCCCTTTAGAGTGGAGGTTTCCCTTGGCAGGCACAGATGAAATATGTTTCATCTCTGTCTGTTTTCCCCAGCACGAGGTCCCCCCGAGCCGGGGCTGCCGGGGGCACCCGGGGGGTTGCTCTTCTGCTTTGCAAAGCAGAGTCTGTCCCTCTGGGTGAAGCAGAGCAGCAGCTCAGCTCAACAGTCAATTTTTAACCTGCCCCTTGCTCCGTGGTGTGGAAGGGAAGTTTGCCAGCAAGGTGTTGCCATTGGCCCCGTCTCCCCACACACAAACACGGCTGGGTGAGGGCTGGCTGGGCTCTGCTCTGGACTCTGCTCGTGCCTTGTGTGCTGGATTTCTCCAGAAATTGCAGGTCACAGTACGGGGTGTTCCGACACTGGGGAACGTCCCCATCTTCTCCTGAACCCCGTGGTCAGTGTGAGATGGGCTGTTGACTTGTTCCAACCCCATCTTTCCGTGGATAGGATGGTTGCAAGAGCAGTTTTTGGGAGAGATGGGTGTTTGATGGGAGGGCAGAGGGTGGGACCTCTCTGCTGTCTGCTGTCACTGACACTCTCTTTGCTCTGGGCTCTCTCTTTCCAACACCCTGGTAGTCAGTCCCCACCTTCCCCAGCTTGTCAAGCCAGAGCCTTTGCCAAAAGTCTTCTTATTTTCTGTCCTGGCTTTCTGTGGCTTCTCCCCAGAAGGCAGTGGTGATGGGGAACCACCAGCGTGCTCTCCTCAGGGCTGCTCAGGCTGGGGCTGCACGGCCACCCCTGCACTGCGCCCTGTTAGACCAGCCAGATAAAATTAGCTGCTGGGACGCATGTTCCTCAGGATGCCGGGACAGAGGGACACCCAGTACGGCCAGTTCGGCTCGCGGAGAAGAATTAATGGAAACGCCCGGCTCCTGGAGGGAGGAAATTCCTCCAGCAGCCTTTTCCTCCGTTTGTTGCGCGGGGAGGGGGACAATGGGCCCTGTCTGGCCGCAGCACAGCCGGGCTGGCTCGGGGCACAGCACACGCCGGCCACAGACAGCGAGTCTGCGGCACCGGGCGCTCAGGAAGGGCCTGGCACTGATGGGTGACAGCACAGCCGGGTGACCTGCCCTCCCACCCTCCCCTGCACACACCACGGCAGGGCCCTGGAGCACAGCACGGCACAGCACAGGCAGTGCCTGCCTTGGCTGTGTCCCCCTGGACACAGGGACTGCCACAAGCGTGGGATCGCCGGGGTCGGGTCCGGGGGCTCTGAGCCACCCTGGCACAGCCCTGGAGAGAAGCAGAGCAGCAGCACCGTGAGTGGGAGGGCCCTGGGATGGCTGGACATCTGTACCTCGAACTCTCGCTGTCAAATGTTCCGTAAGAATTCATGACAGTTTTTTGTAACCCCACTGGCAGACACCTTCCTGGAGCACAAACCTGCCAGAGCAGTGGACAGGCTGCGACCAAGGAAAATTGCCTTTTTTCTCTGCAAAAATCCAATAAACAGGTAACTTCTTTGCAAGTGGCCTTTTTTTTTTTTTTTTTTTATCAGGGATGCCCCCTGAGCCAATAATTTCAGTGTAATGAGACAAGAGGGACTACAAAGTCTCCAAATCACAGGATCTTATCAATCGTGTTATGTAAGTGTTGTGAGCAGGAATGTCTGGGCAATCCTAGGTCGTGCCAGCAGCAGCCACTTCAGTGGGTGTTGGTTTCAGTCTGCCACAATCGTGGCTTCTGTCACATTCGTGTCCCACAAGGAAAGACAGTCAGCAGCTGATGCCTGAGGCTGCCCAGGCTGTGGGGAGTGCTGGGCAGCTCTGTTTGGTTTTGGGGACCCAGAGAGTGACAAGGCTCTGCCAAACCCACTGTTGCCCCTGGCACAGGGGGTGCATTGTGGCACCTCAGATGGCCTGGGGCAGGGGAGGGGAGAGCAAAGCCCCACAGGCAGAGCCGGGGCTGTGGGAAGCAGTGGGACAGAGTTGATTTTGTCCCCACGGGGTGTTCTCAGAGCATCCTTGGCAGCAGCATTGTCAGGTCCCAGCAAGTAACACGTGGGTTTGGGGGGCTCTGTGTTTGGCTTCTGTGTTTGGCTTCTGCTGTGAGTGTTTGTGGCACAGGAAACAGCTCTGATGGGAAAAGCCACCAGAGCAGGAGAAACTTCGCTGCATCCCCCGGGACAGGAGGGGCTGAGCGGGGGCAGGTCCGGGCAGTGGGCGGGCACTGAGGGGCCCTGTTTGGCCTTTTTTGGAAACAGCCCATTTGAGGCAGTTTGTGGGGATGTGTCATGGGTGGGTGCAGCAGCTGCAGTGAGTGTGGGACACTGCCCTGGGAGAGGTCGAGGGCTGGAAAACTGACAACTTCCTCCGGAGCAAACCTGCTCTGAGGCAGATTTTCCTGAGCAAGGGCAGTTCTGAAAAGCCTTTGGAGGCTCTTTAAAACAGGTTCATCCCAAAACAGCTCTCTCTAGTCTTCTTGGGAGGGGCAATCACCACGTGTTCCCCTCCAGCCATAAATAATTACAATTGCCCATTCTATTAGGCAATGTAAAGGGTTATTTCTAGTCTCCCTGACTTATAGGCAATTTACAGTTCTTACTGTAGGCAAAAAAACTGTAGCTGGGCTATCACTCTTCCAAGCTGCTTTATCTTTGTTGCTCTAAGCAGAGTCATGGGAATGTTTTTTTCTAACCCAGCAGGTTATTAAAGGACAGACTTATAAATAACCACTCTTGGCTATTTTTAAGTATTTTCAGCATCGTCTATCATGATAGTGCAGCACAACCTGCAGAAAAACTGTCCAATTTCGCTGTCAAAGCTTCATAACTCACTTCTGGTTCTTTGGATGGTGAGGAGCCAAGTCCAGGCTCCCACTCTGCTCTAGGGGAATGCCAAGGACCAACGAGCTGCGCTGCCCACCCTGGCCCTGGACCCTCATTTTCTAAACCTTCTTTCCTCCTTGCAGAGGGTGTCGTTCTCCTTTATTACAGAGAGGGAACTAACACTGGAGTTGGTCTACAATAAATTTGGTGAGGTATTTCTGGGGGATGCTGTAGTCACCATAGCAACCATGGGCCAAACTGGTGCTGCCAGGTGGGATGGTGGGGCTGCAGGGAAGTCGGGGGCTGCTGCAGCTCCTGAGGATGGGCTGCCAAAGCCACACCAGGGCGAGGAAGGAGAGGTGCAGGTGGTCTGCTCCTAAACTAAGTCTCTATGAAATGATCAAAAAAGTCTAACCCCACCACTCCAGGAGAACTGAGCATTTCAGACAAGATAATTTATGTTTACTTCATAATTTATTAATTTTCAGGTTACCGTATGCAATAAATTATAGTTGATATAATAATAACATTGTCATAAAATATTACCATGAAGTAAGTACTCATCTAATAGCAACCATAACCTACACAGAGAAGAACCAGAGTTATTATATTTAGATTTTTAGTGTTAATGGGAAGTGAACAAAATATTAAGGAACTTCACAGTAAATTCAAAGAGATCTGTCATTATTATTGCTTCTGTGCAAATGACTTTACTGCACACATACAGCTTAGGAAGGAAAGGTACAGTTGTGCAGAGTTACTCTGGAGCAAACGTGTTCCCTGATGGCTGGACTTGCTGCACCTCACACTGAACAGATGCAGAGTGACCGTGAGCAGGAGCTGATGGGTCTCCAGAGCCTCCCACCAGCCACAGCAGAGAGGCTCTGCAGGGCTCAGGCTTCAACACAACGAGTTGGAGAGGGCAGAGCCCCCGGGTGAAGTCAGTGAGCACCGAGTCTGTCAGAAGGGCCGGAGTCACACCCGGCAGTGGGGGGATCCCCCCCAGCTCAGTCCCGTGGCTGCCCAGAGGAGCCTGGCTGCTTCTCCCTGGGAGCCTCTGGCCACCACGCTGCCATCCTCATCAACGCTGCCACGGGCACCAACGCTGCCCTGGGCACTGATGCTGCTGTGGGCACCGACGCTGCTGTCCACAACAACGCTGCCCTGGGCACTGACGGTACCACGGGCACTGATGGCACCACGGGCACTGATGGTACCACGGGCACTGATGCTGCTGTCCACACCAACGCTGCCCTGGGCACTGATGGTACCATGGGCACTGATGCTGCCCTGGGCACTGATGGTACCCTGGGCACCGACGCCGCCCTCAGTGCACAGTTTGCTGTTGGGGCTGAAGCCCTGCGGGCAGTCAGTCAGGTCCCCAGTTCCATGGGGCAGTGGAGCATGCTGAGTGGGGCTGGAGGTCACAAACAGTCCCGTCCCCAAATGTTCTCCTCCATTTCTGCTCCCTTCGCCAGCTCAGTGAACTTTAATGAAGAATTTCCGAAGCGTCAGGAACTGGAGCAGTTTGTCTTTCCTCCTCTGCTTTAGTGCCATTAGCGCTCTCGTTTTCTCCTCCACGTCCTGGTCGGTGGCGAGGATTATCTTGGCTCTTTCCTCTGCCTTCTTGTCCCCGGAGTTTCTGAAGAGCTTCTGCAGGGACTCCTGGGTGATGCTCTCGAAGATGTTGGCCGCGGCTTTCTTGCGCAGGGCGGTGTCGAAGCGGTAGCCGTGCACGGAGGGGCTCACTCGCAGGGACGTGGACATGGCTGCAGTGCTGGAGCTCGTCTTTGCTTTCATCTACGTGGGTGCTGCCGGGTTTGCCCTGGGCTCCGAGTAGGAGAGATGGGTGCTGTGCTGGCTCCAGGACTGGTATTTAAGGGCAGGCTGGAGGAAAAGCTGGAGGGCTCAGGTTACAGTGGTGAGATCATGATGATGTCAACGCCCAACAGTCACAGGCGAGTTTAACAGTTAAGTTGCCAACTTATTCCCATCCTGCGGAAAAGATGGAAAGTTCTCTCTCCTTCTGCAACAGACATGGCTTTTCTTTGACCCACCACAGCACAGGCTTCAACCACTGCTGTGAGACTGAGCCAGCACAGCCCAAACTCCACTCCTGCCCTTGTTGCACGTGAAAAGCATCACGTGCAGAAAATATATCATATCATAAACCTGTAAAACTCCAGGTGAGAACTGTTGCAATCCTAGCAAGAGGTGTTGGCTGGAGCCTGCACACACAGCCCAGCACTTGGCTCTGTGTCCATCAGTAACACTGCAAACCTGCTCCTGTCTGGGCATGGGGGCCTTTCTGCTGCTTCCCAGCAGATGCAGCTCGTCTTTAGTGCACACACAGCTGCATTTTCTAATTGGAAAGTGCTGTCCCAAAGGCAGGGGATGCCCAGGTTTTACACCCTCGGCTGCCCAGCTGCACATGGCAATGCTCTCGGGGCAGCAGGAAAATTCTCAGTGTCCTTTTTCTTAAATTTCCTGCTCACTGGGGCTGGAAAGAAAACTCACCTCTGCTCCAAAAGAGTCTGTGCTCTCCACACCACCCTTGGCCAACGCCAAGCCCTTGGGCTGGGAGGACTCACTCTTAGTCATATTAGGTTAGTTTTTGGCAGCCCTGTGAGGAGCAGGAACTCGGATTTCATGGCCCTTATGGGTCCCTTCCCACTCCAGATACACTGTGGACAGGGCCTGGCTGCCTGCAAGGGGCTGGCTCTGGCCACTGGAGCTCCTGCTGGGCTCAGACAGCTGCTCTTACCGAGCACAGTCAGACCCGGCCCAGAATAACTGTGGGTTCAAAAGTCACTCGAGGCCGGGAGCCAGAGATAAGTGTATTTTGGTTAATGTTTTAAAGCAGCCGGATGCTGCAGAGGTTGTGTTTGGAAAGTCAGCAGCTTGTTTACTGTTGTTGCTGACCCTGCTACTCACCCTTGCTGAAGGACTCCGGGAACAGCCTCTGTCCCCATCCCACTCGAACCAGGGGTTTCCCTTGTTTACCGGAGAGCTGTGGAGGTGACCTCTGACCACAGCAAAGAGCAGATCCAAAGGAACATCAGCCAGATGCTTCTCGTTCCACATTCCCTTTAAAACTTCTGTTCCCTCGGACGGAGAGAGGGGACACGTCTGAGCCCCAGCAAACCCCCTCTCCAATGGCCAGGGGAAGCCAGGGGAGAGGTGAGAGCACCTGAAGCCCATGTGCAGGTGCTTGTGCTGGCTGAGAGCAGAGCAGGGCATTACCTGTGAGCTGTTGCTCACCAGGTGACGTGCAGAGTGGGGCAGGTGGCTGCCTGGGCCCCAGAGTGACAGGCAACCACAGTTCCATCCGGGCTCAGGTCCACATCCAGTTGGTCGGGGCTTGCCAGGCTTTTATCCTTAGGGGAGGGATTGGGCTCATTTCAGTGCCTGACCACTTTCCTACCTGGGACTTGGGACTCTTCCGTTGGTTGTGGGCACGCCCTGGCACATCCCTGTGCCCTGCACATGTCACATCCCTCCAGAACATGGATTTCCCCACCACTGCCGGGACTTTGTTCCGTGCCGCTGCTCCAGCACGAGCTCTCCCTGCACGTGCCTTTGCTTCCCGCTGGTCCTGTCGTTGTGTGAGTTACTTTTTACGAGTCTGTCCCAGTTCCTCCTGTACATGCAGGCTGTTCCACGCTTCAGTGGATAAACAACAGCCTTGCAAACCCCTGGGGTTCTTCTTTCGCCAGCCAGACGTGCAGCCTCTCACCCTGCCGTGGTCTTGCTGAATTGGTGAGAATTGCACCTCGGCCACTGTTTGCTCAGTGTTTGCAGGGCTGCTAAATTCACCCCGAAAATAAGATTTTTTTGATGTGGCTGGGTCTCTGCCTGGGGAAAGACCCTCGTGGTTTATAGACTCTGTTACCATGAGATGTGAGGGGGGAGCAGGAGGGAGCAGGGCCACGTGCATTGCCCGTCCCTCTGCCTGCTCAGAGCTGCCCAGAGTGCTCTGGGAGGGCGAAACCTGCCTGCAACACGGTTCCAGCTGATATGCTGGAGGTACTTTGCTTCACTGGACAGATAACACAGTGTCAGGGTTCTTAGGGCAAAAAAACAGCGCCGGAAGATCGAACAAGATCTTCTGGCTCTAGAGAACAAACCCTTTCGTGTCCCCTGGTTGAAAACAAGAGCTGAGGCATGTTCACGTGCTCCTGGTTGTCACCACTCCCACTGCACATGGAATCGCTCTGCAGGTATTTGCAGAGACGTGGCTGAGAGCATAAATTAGCAATATCTGTGGAAGATACAAGCTCAGAAAAGTATCTGCCATGGAAACCAAGACTAAAGCTGATACTTTAGGAGTAAGACATCAGAAAACTGCCAAGATCAAGCATGCATTTCCTTGTGAGCTCATCTCACACGGAGCAGTAACAAATGTCTTTGCCCCCTCATGCTTCTCTGCCCACTTTGTATAAATTTAGTTGTGCTTGGCTCTGACGGAGTGATGAAGCATGCCTTGTCTGTTTTTTCCAGTAATTTTTGTTTATATCAGTCTTTTAATACTGCTTTCCCAGTAGTGCTCAGGAGGAATTATTCATGTGTTTGATTGGAGCAAAACTTCAGAGATGTGATTTCTATCATCGTCCTCCCGCTATTACTGTGTAATTGCTTTGTGAGACGCAAATGCTCCATTTCACCCGCTAATGGGAGGATTAATTCCCGTCCCCACCGTCTGCAGAGCGGGGCAGTCACGTCCCTCAGCGTGCTCTGCTCCTCCCTGCACGACGGGCTGGGGGCACTCCGGGTCTGCTGCTGGGGGACCGGGCAGGATTGTGCTGAGCTTCGGGGCACAGGGTGCCTTCCACTGGCACAGCACCCCACGGGCACCTGCCCCAGATCGTGGCCATGAAAGTTTTGACACTGAAGCACTTGTAGTTTGCTAAAGCCAGCCCCCCAGGGCTGTCAAAGCCAGGCAGTGCTGGAGGGAAGGATTTGGGAGGGATGGGGACTCTGCCCCCGGGTTAGTGCTCTCAGGTGGTGCAAAGCCTGATTAAATGGACCCAGAGGCTTCTCCCACTCCAAGCTGCAGATCAGGCGAGGATCTCGCCTGCCCCGGCTGCACCCGTGTGAGGGACAGGGGAGGGCAAAGCAGGGCACTCACCGGGCCAAACACCACGGCAGGGGCTTCTGGAAAGCCCCCAGCCCCTGCAGGGAGCCAGCAGCCCAGGGCAGGAGGTGGAAGGGAGCTGGGGCTGCTCTGACCACAGGGGTCGCTGGGGCAGCCAATGCCTGTCCCACAGACTCTTGCAGGGAACTTGCTCTGCCTTTGTGTAACTTCCAAAACCACTCCAAAGAAGGTAATCTGGGATGGCTTTGCAGTTCCTTGGGGCATGTTTTGCATAGCTTTCCCTTCACCAGCCTCTGCTGAAGCCTGCAGGGCCTGTGACACCCCGTTGGGATCCACCCCATGGAGCATGGGTGCTGCCCAGACCTCCCCAGCCATACCCAGGATATTCAGAAACTGGGCCTTTGGAAGGGCACCTGGGAGGCTTGGGCACCAGAGAAGAAAGTTAAATTATTGCCTTAAAATGTATATATATATCTGCATGTGTGTGTGTGTGTGTGTGTTTCCATGAAAATCTAAAATTTGGGAAATGCCCAGGATTCTCCAGCCATCTCTGCTCTTCCCATTCTTTCCTGGCTCCATGGTTTGGAACCCTGGCTCCTTGCAGCCTTTGCTGCTGCTGCCAGCCTGCAGCTGGGGAATCCCAGCCCTCCTCAGGAGCCAGAAATCCTGCTCCTGGTGTGTGCTCTCTGCTGGGAAAGGTTTCCAAGATGGGAAGGTTTCCGAGATGGAATGCTCTGCAGAGACAGCTGTGGCATGGCTCTAAGGTCAAAGAGGAACCAGTTCATTGTGTTCCTCTTGGAATCCAAATTCCTGGGAGGTTGTCAGACACCCAGGTCGTGCAAATGGCAGTGCCTGCCCTGGCTCCAACCTGCCTACAGTGTCTTCCAACTGGAACTCATGTGCCTCTGGGACTCCACCTGGGATTTCTGTTTGTTTGGCTGTTGCTTGGGTTTTTCTGTGGTTGTTGTTTCTTTAGTAGAGCATCTGGGAACACTTGTCCAAATCTCACGGCAGGACACTGTGCCCTTTGCTCACAAAACCCTGTGACTCCTCTTGTGGTCCCCAGTTCAGAGCTGCAGGACAGGGCAGGTATTTTAAGGGCATTTCTGCTGCAGTTCAGTGGCTGGAAAGCACAGACCTGTCTTAGACAATCCTCACACAGCTCCCTGCCACAAAACAGGGAAAACTGATAGATTTTCAGACAACAGAAGGCATGACTGCACAGACAAGCCAGTTAGATTTCGACAGAAAGGTTTTTAATAGGCAAAAACTCAGGACTGGCCTGAGTGAGGGGAATGCAGCCCCAGAGCTGTGCAGAGCAGCCCCTGCACCGGGCAAGGAATGGGCAGAGCTGGGGGAGCCCTGGGTGAGCCCTGGGTGAGCTGAGCGGGGAGACCATATAAGAGTAAAGCCTGTGGTGGTGCTGATAATGAATGTCTGCTCATTTCTCATAAATTCTCTGCTAAATGTACGATCACCAAGTTAATAATGCAGTGCAGGACATAATGAATAGCCAGTTACAGTAAGTAAATCATGGCTGGTAAGAAACAGAACAGAAACAGAAACTTCTGGCGCTTTTACCAGGCAAAGCCTCTTGGAAGGAGCATCCAGGAAAGCAGAGCTGAGGACATGGCTGGTGTGGACCAGATGCCACTCACTGGCACAGGGAGCTGGAGGGGCTGGGGCAGGGCAGGGGTCTTGCTGTGTAAGGAAGCCATGGGTGGTTTCTCCTGGTCCTTGGGGCTTCCCAAATCCATCTTGCAAAGG